GAAGGGGAGTTTATGTGGATGCAGACAGTACTACAGTCTCAAATTAGTATTCCTCTTTTCTCTTACCCTGGCCACTTACTAAAACGGAGAGTTCAGGAAATAGAAGTGAACTTGGAAAGAACACGGCCCATCAAACCTGAAGTGAGGCTAACAATGTCAATCATAACAACGATAATTAACATTTAGAGAGCATTAGTTTGTGCCAGGCACTGCTCTAAATACTTCACATACATTAACACATTTAGTCATCATAGCACCCCACGAGTCAGGTACTCTTAGCGTCCCCATTTCACAGGGAAGGAAACTGGAGTACTGAGAAGGAACTGAGCTCAAGGTCCCAGGGCTGGTTTGCAGCTGTATTCGGATGTTAACTCAACCTGACTTGAGAGCCCCTGCTTTCAGTTGTTTTTAACTACCATGCTAAGGAAGGAATAACAGAGATAATAAAAAGAAAATCCAGCCTTTATGGATCTCATCTGATGTGCCCATGAATCATGTTATTTAGTCTCCCAAAGCCTCATGTTGTCACTTCTCTTACTATGATACCAGTTTCACAGGTGAGGAAACTGAAGCACAGAGAAGTCCATGTGCTTCCCCAACTCATGCCACTGTGTGTGGGGTACCGCCAGGACTGACCACAGGCCAGGTCCAGAGCTCTTAACTCCTCTGTGGCACCAGAAACTTCTTATAACACACTCTGGAGATTTTTTTCCCTCTTTTTAACCTTGGTGGTTATTTCTGTGAACAGCAGTGTTTTACCAGGAGAAGCCAAAAAGAAAAAAATCAAACCCATAAGAAATACACTTCAGGCATAAAAACCCCAGGGTGAACTTAAAATAAAGAAAATAAACAACCATGCAAAGGCTGAACGAGAGCTGTGAACTTTTTTCTTCTCCGTTTATTGTATATGCTATGGAGGGGCAGTGTTAGCCAAACAGCTACAGATCTCAAACCAGGGCCTTATGGGGTGATGGCTGTGCTAAAGCTTTTGGAAGTTTATGAGATTAGCTAGAAGACCTAGTGGGAGGCATCCTGGCTTGTCTAAAGCTTGCTCTGTGCTCTTCCGTAAGATGCTCTGTCGCAGTGCCTCAGTTTACTCATCTGTAAAATGATGAGGTGAGCCCCATGAGCGTCCTTTTTTTGCTTCTATAAAATTATACATTTTTTCTTTTTTTGAGACAGGGTCATGCTCTATTGCCCAGGCTGGAGTGCAGTGGGGTGATCATAGCTCACTGCAGCCTTGAACTCCTGGACTCAAACAATCCTCCCACCTCAGCCTCCTGAGTAGCTGGAACTACAGGTGCACTCCACCATGCCCAGCATTTTTTTTTTTTTTAGAGACAGGGTCTTGCTGTATTGCTCAGGCTGGAGTACAGTGTCATGATCATGGCTTACTGCAGCCTTGACCTCCCAGGCTGAAGTGATCCTCCTACCTCAGCCTATTGAGTAGCTGGGACTACAGGCATGCATCGCCATGCCTAGCTAATTTTTTTTTTTTTTTTTTTTGTAGAGATAGGTTTCACCAGGTTTCCCAGGCTGGTCTTGAACTCTTGGACTCAAGCAATAAATATACCTGCCTTGGCCTCCCAAAGTGCTGGGATTATGGGCCAAAATTATGGTTTTAATTCTCAGAAAGGAAAAGGACTTATGCTAGCTTCTCACTATGGGCCAATTTCACAAAATCAGCATTTTCAGGCCTAAAAGTTAATAAGCCTCAATCTGCTTTATTTTCTTCTTCCTCTGAGAAACTAAGCTCAACCAATGTCTTCCATTCTGAAATGCTCTCAGTAGTTCGAGAGTTTATTTCTCCTCTGGAACAACTCAAAAAAAAAAAAAAGTTAATAGGAAGCACATGGGCATGGTGTGTGAGCGTTCCGTGTGTTTGTGTTTGAAAAAAAATACTTGAGGAGGAATATGTCAGGCTTGCAAAATGCCTGGGCTGTCTCAAGAGCAGTTTATAGCCATTAGCATCAGACTGAAGGCAGTTAATTGGGACAAAGCCCAGCTGCTGCCGCTGCCCTTCTGTCATCTGGGCTGCAAGGAGGATAAGAAAATAACCTGGACGATTCCCATGGTAGGGTGAGAAGAGAGCTGGAGACGGTGGCTGGTGGGGATTGAGATGGGGAGTGGGGGCCTAGGCTCACCCCTGAGAATCACCTTCCAGATGGATCTAAGAGAGTGTGAAGGGCAGGATGGCGTGAGGGTTATGTGCCTGGGCAACTGCCTGGCTCATCTCCCACTGCCATGGCCGTGTGATCTTGGGTAAGTGACTGAAACACTTTATGCCTCAGTTTCTCCACCTGTAAGATGAGGGCAGTGATAGTGCCCATGTCATGGGGCTACTGGGGAGATTAAGAGGCATGTTTATGTGCAGATGTTAGGACAGTGCCTGGAGTCCTAAAGGAGTCTAGGAAATCTCATCATTTAGAGGAAGTGGCACCGGAGAAACCGGAGTCTGAATCCTAGCTCCGAACACTTATCAGCTCTGCGGTTTTGGGCAAGTCACTTGCCCTCGCTGAGCCTCACTTTCACCATCTCTGAAAGCAGGGCTGATGGGGCCCACCTCACGTGGTTGCTGTAAGGACCAGAGAAGAAAGAACATTATTCTGCATATCCTGCTCTGGGGAGGATAGGATGAGGCTCCTTTGGAGTCCTTGAACACTGTGAGCCTTTTCCTGCCGCAGGGCCTTTGCTCTTGCGTTCCTGCTGCCTGTACGGCCCGGCTCTGGCCCCTCCTGTGGCGGCCTCCTTTCCACCAGGAGGCGCCTGACCACCTGGGGAATGCCGATTGCCACTTCTGGGCTACACCATTGCTCACGGTCCAGCATGCCACCCTGCTTTTGTCTGTCACAGGCTTCATCAAAATCTAAAATTATTTATCTATTTGTCAATCGATTACCATCCATCTTTCTCTACGAGGAGACTGTCTTTGTGGGCTGCTGTGCCCTCAGTGCCTAGAAGGGTGCCAGGTGTCAAGCTGGTGCTCAACATACGGAATGAATGAATGAATGAATGAATGGGGGCCCCTCCTACAGACCTTAGGTCACTTATTGTGTGGCTGAGGGGGTGTCAAAATGGGATGGGGGACTGGGTTCCCAGTTCAACCTCTGTGGCCTCAGAAGCCCTGAGGCAGTAAGTCCAGTTTCTATTTAAAGAGCTGGAAAGAAACTGGCTTGAAATGGACTCAAACGCACGTTGAAGTTCAGTACCTTTACACCCCTCCTAATTTCAGGGCTGGTGCCATTTTTCACTCACTACTTGGAGAGATGGGTCCCAGCAGTTTACTCCCTTCAGTGGGTCTCAGAAAGGCCCCAATTGGGGACACAGAGATGACAGCAGAAGCAGAGGAGGCAGGAAAGTGCCAGGGTTACAGGGACGGGCTTTGCAGTGAGGCTGGGGGTCGGGATTCCACCAGGCCCCCAAGAGATCTGACGCAGTCCCTTTGCCATTACGCTTACAATAAAATCTAAACTCCTTGCCCTAGTGTTGGCCAAATCAGTCATTCCTTCTATGCCTCAGTTTCCTCTTCTGTGAAATGGGAATGATACAGTGCGGTCGCTTGAGAACGTCATGAAGGTTGTATGAGAGAATCCACACAGCATCACCTGGCAGCTAGCATGTTTGGTCAAGGCTAGCTCATGGCATCACTGACAAACTTGAACACAGACCTTTCCAGAGAGCTATTCTCAGGGCTGGGCATGAATGCTTATCACCTGCTTTCCTTACACACATCTCTAAGATTATTGTTCTCCTTTCACAATTTTTTTTTTCCTGAAATGTTGCCCTTGACAACCATTTTTATTACTTCCTTAATAAAAATTAAAATAATCAAGATGAAGTGATAATACTTCCAAGTAGTTTCTTTTAAAAGAAAAGTACCATCAAAGCTGGGTGCAGCAGTGCACACCTGTGGTCGCAGATACTCTGAAGTGGCAGAAACACTTGAGCCCAGTCTGGGCAACATAGCAAGACTCTGTCTCAAAAAAAAGTACAATCACTCATCAGCCCAGCACTTTGTCATTTTACTTTTTCAGACCCTTGATGGTAATTTTTAGCAACTTATATAAAGGGAAACAGCAGAATGGGGATCCCGAAAATTACAGCCACCAGCCCTCTGCTCCATGCATCACCTCCAGCATGCTCCCAAGGGGGCATCAGAACTGAGAAGGGCTCTTGGATGGTAAAGAGTGGAGGTGAGCATGGGAAAACCCAGCAAGCCAGTTCCTTATGGCATGTGGGTGGAGGATTACACAATGGAGTTCTTTCTTCCTTAAGGCCACCCTCTGGGGCTGCAGAGCCTTGATCCTCCTGCCTGGAATAACAGCTTCTTTACCTGACTGTCCAATATTTCCACCATCCAACATTTCTGAGTCTCTACAATAGACTTGCCTGTCCCATCACACTTAAAATACAAGCAAACTCCTTCCCACATCCCTCAAGGCCATGCGTGATTGTGCCTTGCTCTTCGTCCAAGATTCTTTCCTCCTACATGCCTTCTGACTTTGCTCCAGTCTCACGGGTCTCTGCTCTGTGCCTCAAATACATCCAGACATTTCCCTGCATGCAGCGTTTGCACAGGCTATTCCCTCTACCTGGAATGCTCTTCCCTAAGATGTCTACGTGGCTGCTTTGCCTCACCCTTTGGGTTTCTGTCCAATGTCATCTCTTCAAGAGCCTTCCCTGATGATTTGATCTAAAGTCACAAATCTCACCTTTCCTGACCTCCCAAGTGCTCATCACTCTCTATGCAAAGACCAGGTTTTTTTACATTCAACCCCTTCCCAAATCATCTGGCTCATTTGCCAACTTTATCATTAGTCTTTCCCCAATGCCAGGTAATGACCATGAAGGCAGATCTCGTATCTATTTTGTCCACTCCTTGAGATAGAGCCTGGCACATAGTAGGTGCTCAAAAAATCTGCTGAATGAATGAATGAATGGACACCCAACTTAGGTGGTCCTTAGAGACGGGCAGGAAGGGGCCACAGCGCCACACTGACCGTGCATCTGGTAGGTGTATGGGCTCTGTCCAGTGGGTGGGGTGCTGAAGCTGGAGCCATAGCTGAGGAATCCACTCTGGCCAGGGGAATGGTTCAAGCTGTCTTCTGTCTTGATGCCTTTGAAGGAAGAGGGGAAAAAAAAAAGGACCAAGGACACATGATTAGGATGCGTCCTTGTCACCCACAAAAGAGCTACTGGGTCAAGACAGTATGCAATTTTATCAGCTTCCAAATGAGGAGTTGCAAACTGGTGGCTTGTCAGCCAAAGTTAGCCTACAGACATATTTGACTTGGCCTGCATATTTTTAAGAAAAACTGAATTAGTTGATTTTGTTTAAAAGTAAGAATATTTCATACACAAAAAACTGGAGATATGGCTTCTTTTTGAATGACAAGAGGGTCTAGTAACACCATGTCTGCATCACATGTGACCACAAGCTGGCCCTTTCACATGTTTCCCAGGTGATCACAGATTTCATTCCATCTGCAGGACTTTGAGGCTGGTTTTAAGATGCTATTTTCTCATCACAGTTGTGATTTGTTTTGGTACATCCTAGGATCCTATCAAAAGTGGAGAAGGGAAAGGCAGGCTACAAACGTCTCATACTTTGTAAATGCCAACAGCTTCATGCTACCTGCCAGCATGGTAGGTATGCAAGCCTGCAGCCCACTACTCCCCTGGGCAGTGCCGTGTATGGCTTAAATGGCCATTAGGATTTTGGGCAAAGGTGTGAAATGAACTACCCTTCCTCTGCAAAGATGATGTCACTTAACTGTCAGACACACTCTCCAATCTCGGGGGGCGGGGGGACCTGCTTATCCCAAGGCCACAGTTACAAATCTGCCTTCTACTTCAGCAAAACGTGGCATGCTTACCTAAAGCATAGGTACTAATTCCATGAACAACTGGTTGAGAAAGGGACTGTGTTGAGGAGGTGAGGCTAACCATCATCAGCTCATTCACTTAATTTTTATCGAAACTGTAATGAATGCATTGTGTGGAGAAACAGGAACACTTTCACACTGTTGGTGGGATTGTAAACTAGTTCAACCATTGTGGAAGACAGTGTGGCGATTCCTCAAGGATCTAGAACTAGATGTACCATATGACCCAGCCATCCCATTACTGGGTATATACCCAAAGGATTATAAATCATGCTGCTATAAAGACACATGCACACGTATGTTTATTGCGGCACTATTCACAATAGCAAAGACTTGGAATCAACCCAAATGTCCATCAGTGACAGACTGGATTAAGAAAATGTGGCACATATACACCGTGGAATACTACGCAGCCATAAAAAAGGATGAGTTTGTGTCCTTTGTAGGGACATGGATGCAGCTGGAAACCATCATTCTTAGCAAACTATCACAAGAACAGAAAACCAAACACCGCATGTTCTCACTCATAGGTGGGAACTGAACAATGAGATCACTTGGACTCGGGAAGGGGAACATCACACACCGGGGCCTATCATGGGGATGTGGGAGGGGGGAGGGATTGCACTGGGAGTTATACCTGATGTAAATGATGAGTTGATGGGTGCTGACGAGTTGATGGGTGCAGCACAGCAACATGGCACAAGTATACATATGTAACAAACCTGCACGTTATGCACATGTACCCTAGAACTTAAAGTATAATAATAATAAAAAATAAATAAAAAAAAAAAGAAAATTCCAATAGTACAAAAGGCATAAAGTGTCTCTTCCTATCCCTGACCTCAAACCCCAGCTCTTCTGCCTATAGGCAACCACGATTACCAGCTTTATGGAACACAATTCACTTCCAGACAAGTTCTGTGCATATATCAGTTATGTATATAATATACATATGTAATGTATATATCTATTCCATCTTTTAAAAAATAAACTGGAGTATTCTATAAATTCTTCATTTTCTTTTTTTTTCTTTTACTGCTTCATAATATGTGATAATGATCATTCTTCATGAGCTTATAAAGTTCTTCCTTACTTTGTATTGATGGCTGTGTGACATTCTAATATGTGGTTTCCCCATCATTTAACCAGTTTCCTATTCATTAACTTTTGGGTGGTTTTTAGATTTTATGACTCTAATTTAAGCTGCAGCAAATACACACATAACACACACACGCAGCAAATGTGTATATATACACACACACACGCAGAAAATATATTTAACATATAGATGTACCTATATGCATATACATATGTATTTGCTGCAGCTTATAGTCATCACACCACACACACACATTTTGTGCACATGTGCAAGTCTTTTTTTTTTTTTTTTTTTGAGACGGAGTCTCGCTCTGTCGCCCAGGCTGGAGTGCAGTGGCCGGATCTCGGCTCACTGCAAGCTCCGCCTCCCGGGTTTACGCCATTCTCCTGCCTCAGCCTCCCGAGTAGCTGGGACTACAGGCGCCCGCCACCTCGCCCGGCTAGTTTTTTGTATTTTTTAGTAGAGACGGGGTTTCACCGTGTTCGCCAGGACGGTCTCGATCTCCTGACCTCGTGATCCGCCCGTCTCGGCCTCCCAAAGTGCTGGGATTACAGGCTTGAGCCACCGCGCCCGGCCCACATGCGCAAGTCTTTTAGGTAAATTCCCAGTAGTTGGAATCACCGAGTCCAGGGCAAGAGCGTCTTAAATTTTCTTGCATGTTGCTGAATGGTGCTCCCTACATTGTAGGTGACATTCTCTCCAAGCACTGAGTGAGCCCTGCTTCTCCACAACCACACCAACTGTGTTATCAAACATTGCTTATCTCTGTCTATCTTATGGGTATACAACAGTATCTCATTGCTGTTTAAAATTTCATTTCTTTCAAGAACACTTCCAGTTCTGCTGATGGTTTTCTTATTGAAATTACCTCCTTCTTACCCTGTCAACCCCACAAAATAAGAGAATGCTTAGTAAGGTAAAAACAGATAGATTATGAGTCAGGAAATCTGGGCTGGAGTCCTAGATGGTTTGCTTCATTGATTGGTGACCTCGAAAGTTTCTCCTGCAACCCCAGGTTGGAGGCCTCCTTTCTTGCGAAATGATGGGTTGTTAGGAAATTAAAGAGGAAAGAATGAACACATAAAGGCTCTGAACGAAGTAATCAAAGCACACATCTCTTTGATCCTCACATCAGTCTCACGAAACAGGCAATATAGTACTTCTCTCATTTTAAAGATGTGGGAATTGAGATTGCCCATCCATTGGACTGGGGTCTTGCAATTGGCAGATAACTCTGAAGTCAAGGTTCCTTATCTTGATGCTTCTCAATAATAGGTGTGAGGGGTTTTAAGCCATTGATGGTGCCAGACTTTAGTAACAACAATGATGGCAGCAACAAGCAATATTTCTACAGCACCTTCTTTTTGCTCAGTCCACCAGGAGTGGTTAACGTTGCATTGGGTACAGTCGGCCTCACTGTGCACCTAAAGTAAAATCTAAACCCTGCAGTGCAGTGACCCCCAAGGCCCTGTGTGGGCTCTGCCCACCCCTCCAACCTCACTGCCTTTCCAGGGCTCCTTCGCTTACTTTGCTCAAGCCATATGCTCAGACACTGTTTGTTTTAGTGATGGGATAGAAAGCTGAAATCAGAAATATCACTGCTTGCTCAGCCAGTTCCCTGATGATGAAATCCAGGTTGATGCCAGTTTTTACTATTACAATCCAAGATGAAATGTACATACTTCCTCCAGCAATGTCACAGTGTATGTCTTGGTTGGATACAAGACAGAAATTGCTGCATCTAAGGATGCCTACGTTGTCCATTTTAAATAAATAGAGACAAACTTCAACAATGTCTTTGGACTCAAAGCCTTTGCATATGTTGCTTCCTCTGCCTGGAACCCACACCTCCCTCTTCTCTATTAGGCAAATATTGTTTGCCTAGAAAGGCCTTCTATGACCTAAGTCAGCCCTGAGTAGCATGCAGTTCTCCTGCCTGGCACTCATCCCAGTTCACTGCTGAACCTCTGCTCTCTGTTTAGGCTGGAGGCTCCAGGACGGAAGGGCTGGGTCCCTCTTGTACCCTGAAGTCTCCCCATATGTGGCTCCCTGTCTTGCACATAGTAGGTGCTCAAAAACTGGTGAATGAATGACTACGAAAGAAAAGAAAATAAAGTTTTTCACCTCTTCTTTTGTTTGCTGAAGTGGTTGGATCATAAAATTCTAATCCATGAGAAAAAGAAGAGAATATGAAAATGGCAAAGGTGCACGAGGGCCTTCATCCTGTAAGTCTGTTGTCCAGACTGCGGTCCATGTATCAGTCACAAATTCAGAATGAGAAAGTCAGACACTGAGAAGTAAACATGCAGAAACTTTTGCAGCAACTTGGCATTGTTCTGACATCTAAGGCCATTTGTCCAGACTTGTATTTAGTATGCTTTTAAAACATTTTAATTTGGCCCGGTACGGTGGCTCATGCCCGTAATCCCAGCACTTTGGGAGGCCGAGGTGGGCGGATCACTTGAGGTCAGGAGTTCAAGACCAGGCTGGCTAACATGGCGAAACCCCATCTCTACTAAAAATACAAAGATTAACTGGGTGTGGTGGTGCACACCTGTAATCCCAGCTACTCAGGAGTCTGAGGCACGAGAATTGCTTGAAACTAGAAGGTGGAGGTTGCAGTGAGCTGAGATCACGCCACTGCACCCCAGCCTGGGCTACAGAGTGAGGCTTCATCTCAAATAAATAAATACATATTTTAATTTGATTTTTCTAGCAATTGATTTTATTTTATGAAAATATTAGTCCATAGTGGAATGGCAATTAAAAAGCAAAAACCTGAAAACTGGTCTTTTAAACCAGATGGAGAAACATTGCTCTAAGAGATTGTGTTCAAAGGAAATCTGGTCACGGTTTGGCCCAGAGGCAGACTGATCTCATCAGACCTCCTGCTCCCCAGGCATCTCTGATGACTATCTTCATAGCAAAGAGAAAGAGGCCTCCGAAAAGGTGCTCGTGAACTATCTGCAAGTTCCACTGGCTTCCGCTCATGGAAGTACCAAAGTGAGTGTGTGGATTTCAGAGAGGGTGTCAAAACCAGACAGCCACTAAGTATTCATTCACTCATTCACAACTATTAGCTCAGCACCTGCAACAGGCCAGGAGATACAGATCTTGATGCTGGAGATACTGT